CCCCCTATCTTCCCTCCATGAGAATATAGGGCTTCAAAGACAAAGGGATATTTGGCTGCAAGCCCAACAATAGCAGCAATCAGATATTTATATAATGACACGAATGACTCTAGAGGGATGTCCAATGTTCCTTACATATCAATGTCCTGCTGCTCGATAAAATTAAGACTTTTCAACTCAAACTTTGATGGCCATGCAAGGGAAGTYTTCTCCGTCTTGTTTTGTGATTCTGGTTTGGAATCAACCTTGTTGTTGTCTGGCATTATTGCAGTGYCTTCAAAATCCTTGAAACACACAAACCACGAATTCATAGTTACAGAACATTAAATTTATTTTTTGGAAGGGGGAGCACTTTGAGATGCAGCTCCATCTGGGGGACAAAACAATAGGTTCCAATTCTCATAAGATTGGAATTCTTTTGTTTGGTCCCCCAGATCGAGCTGYTTTAACGTCACATGCAAGGGGTCTATAAACAGTACATATATATATACTTACATAAAAACAACATATCAGTGCATCAAATACAATGAATAAATAACATAAATTTAAAGCATGCTCAAAGTTTTGCCCGAAATTTCAACAAAACGCAAGGCAACCTTTGTTGAGCTTTGTTATTCTCTATACTCGTACACTATTGCGAACAAACCTATCAGGGACCGGGTAATGCAATTTTGCCCAAAATCTCAACAAAACGTAAGGCGACCTTTTGTTTAACTTTGCTAATGTAATGTAATATGGTAGCCAATCAAAATGCGGGGTTTTACTAACACTTCAAAGATCAGGGAATATAATGGATGTCATCAATAGTATTTGTTTGTCTCTGATTTAAAGTAGATATTTCGACCATTTACCGATGGCATTCATAAGTAAAGATGAAGGCCATTGGTAAATGGCCGAAACGTCTACTTAACAATAATTAATCTTAATGGCAAATTTAAGACATTAATAATGGATGTTATTCTGTTCTTACCACAGACATGTTAAAGAGTCCACCAATATTGTAGACCAGATCAGCAAATGTTGGTCTTTTGTTTGGATCTGGGTTCCAGCACTGCCACATCACTTCATACCTGAATAAAATCGTATAGGTCATTAATTATTTCTCACACCTTTCTCATTAATGGCCGCCAAACCCGGTCAAACAAAGTCTACATAGTACGATCTTTTGTGTCGAAGTCATTTACCYTTGCTTCAAGAGATGCTTAAAAGAGCTCGAATTGGTGAGATGAATGACTTTGACACAAAAGATCGTACTGAGTAGACTTTGTTTACTAATGAGGCCTTTCTGACCTYGCTTACATTCAATTGTCCCTAGTCCCAACCGGGTTTGGCGGCCATTTATGAGAAAGGTCCCCGATTGGAAAACATTRTGCTAACATCTGGACACCTTAACATATCATTACTGTCACCATCATCATCAGTATCATCATATTCCATATGATCATCACTATAAATCACCTTGATACATGATTGATTCACTACCATAACCACCATCATTACCATCATCATCRCCATCATCACTTTCATTATCTGACCATTATCTTCGCTAACATTACCATCATTATTATCATCATKAATAATAACATTATCATCATCATTATCATTATCATCGTCATCATCATCATCATCCCCTCATCATTACCACCATCATCTTTAGTTATCATTAATATATTTAGTATATTTACACTTACATGTCACGCGATGTATTACTGGATCTTTCTAGTCTGTATCCCTGACGCAGTCTTTCAACAACTTCTGTACCAGACATCCCAGCATAAGGCATCAAACCTAAGGGAATAGATGGGATTACGATGACGAAATTTATGCCAACCAGAAATCTATTTCACAATCTAACACAGCAACGTGTCAAAGCCTACTGCTGAAATGGTTGGCACATTAACATCACAGCGGCAATTTTTATGTTACATCCACATATATAATTGGACATTTTGCCTTTTGTGCCTTAGGCAGCTTTTAGCTTAGAGAAAATACTTACCTCCACTTTCGATTTCCCACAAGAGAACGCCGAAGGACCATCTACGAAATAAAATCAGTACAAGTACAGTCGTTTATAGAGCAGTTTTCGTATGACTATGAAAATGGTGCAATCACATTGCGAGAGAAAAAAACCCAAAGCCTCCAAAATCTTAGAAAATATCACGGTCGCGGAAAGGCACGGATACGRCACCGTCTGTTTCACGGTCATATACGAAAACTGCTTTAAATAGTACACGTGGAAACGAACGATTCGCCGTCGCAACAAATAGGGTTTTGGTTGACGTCAATCAAAGTGTTTCCATCACAATATGGTTGACGTCAACCAATCAATCGTCAATCAAAATGTTTCCWTGACATCGRAAAAMACAAAGGACAAGTGCCTATGGAATGTCATGGAAACGCGCCTTGGTTGACTCGTTCAACAAAACCTCTTGAATTCGTCGCGACGACGATTCTGCGCGTGCCATTGAGAAAAAAGGTAGTAGACTAAGATTAATYTTGACTAGGAGTAGCCAGTTTTCTCTAGCTTGGACTGTCCTTTTCTAATCCATATTCGGGGACCGATCCAAGAGTGTTAAAATGCCCAGCGTCATGTGGCGGATCCCACAGGGGTGATTCCGTGGGTTCCACTGAATCCCCCTTTTGTAAGATCTTGTGAAGCCAATTATTTTCTTTAAGCTCAGTGGAATGAATTTTGAACCCCCATCGTGAAGGCAATCCTACCAGTTTTTTCTGCGTGGCSGTCATTTTGGAACCCCCACCCCCTTTTTTAATGGTTCCTAGATCCAACACTAGAYCTTGTAGTGTTGTCTCATGTTTTTTGGGGTTTTTTTTTTTCAAGTTTCAAAAGCAGCACTGTCAGTCGAGAACATGCACGAGATATTCTAACAAATAATTTTACATAAAAACTGGTTTCCTTACACGTCGGACTTGCTGGTATAGGTGTAGTCTTGTAGAGATTCCAGGGCCATCCAACGAACAGGAAGAAGACCCTGAAAGAATTTTATATCATACACATAAAATACGAGGATTTTTCTCCGGATTGTCTAGTTTTTCTGCCCTCCGAAAAAACTATGCAACTTCGAAATTCATTTTTCGTCAGATCARATAAACGAGTGCCATGCAACTGGACTGTTAGCCACTGTCCATTAAGCGGGACGATTTATTTCTATTGCTTACTATCAATCACGTGACTCTTTGGAGTTGACTGGGGGGCAAACAAGCGGTTGACTGGGGGGCAACTAGCGGATGTTAAGTCAAAACATGTCAAAATAAGTCCTAAAACTATTGTATTTGACTATTTCTACGACATCAAACCAGAAAACAAGAGATCAAAACAACCCCCAAGATTCTACAAGCCATTAAAAACGCAACTATTACCGAAAGTGACGTCTATTGATAGCGACCTATTAGAGCAAGTCGTTGGTTTAGCATATAAGGCATTACTATAAATCTCATTATTTAAGTGTCTAGTCGTTCTAGCGATTTCGCACTAATTGGGGACACTTTTCATTCACACACACTACCACTTCATTCAATATTCTATGCACACAACGCTCAACTCATGTAGATTTTTACGGAGGGAGGAAACCGGAGAACCCGGAGAAAACCCTCGTAGCATAGGAGAGAACAGCACATCAAACAAAGTCAATTCACATGTGGCGATCACGGCTCGACTGACCAGCGACCCGACCCGTGAAAGACGACGCGTTAGCACCGTATGACACCTATGCTACCCCATACATGACTTCATATGGACCTTAATCGAGCTGCAGTCATGTTGGCTCCGGCTAGGATAATAAAATGGCTTTCTTTAAAAGTGCGCGGATAAACTCGTTCCGAAGCACTTGAATGACAGACACGACAACATGGAAAAATGCTGTTTTGGCTACCGTGGCTGACGCACGAGATGAAGATCAGTCAGCTTAACTTACCCCTGCCGTGTTCTCATACACTCCAATTTCGTAGATATCACGTGACATACCAAAGTCAGAAACCATGGCAACCATGTTTTTACCAAGCAAGACGTTACGAGCCGCCAAGTCTCGGTGAATGTACTGAAATTACAAAAAGACGTTAAAAAGAATGGTTAGTATACAGCTATTTCAAAGAAGGTAGGAGAAGGTTCTGTTGCATGTTGCTTAGCACTAAGCTCGAAATGTATTATGTTCACATGTAAATAATGTCAGTACATAGTGCAATTCGGGCTTAGTATGCAATATACAACATGCAACATGTAACATGCGATATGTAACATGCAACATGCAACATGCAACATGCAACATGCTTGCTTGCTTGCTTGCTTGCTTGCTTGCTTGCTTGCTTGCTTGCTTGCTGGTTTTATGTTATTAATTGTTTCGAGGGGGCTCGCATATTTATGCCTATTGATTAAATAATGTGTTTACCCTGTGTCTCTCGAGGTGAGCCATCCCCTGAGCGATCTCATACGCAAACCTCATTCTCTCCCTTTCAGATAATACAATAGTMGGTCTTGGTTGATTTGGACTCAAGTCACTTGTGTTTTGGTACTCAGGTGCAGGGCGATTGTCTTTTAGRAAGTCAAGAAGACAACCATTTGGTGCGAACTTCACCACCAACCAGAGAGGACCTTAGTAAAAAAAATTGAACATTACAATTAGGCAATAAATCCGGCTACCCTTGTTGCTGCTGCATAACATAGACAAGTTATATCCATTTATATTAATCCAAGAAAGGACATTTTTTTCTACACCTCAATCCTTACGTCCAGGCAATCCTTTCTTCCATCCCTTCTTCTTTCCTTCCTTTCTTCCATCCATCCATCTATCCATCCATTTCCTAAACTTCACATCCACCCATCCATCCATCCATTCCTTAAACTTCATAATTCCTTCACAAGCCCATCCTTCATCTTCCATTTCTTCATATTCTCATCAAGGTACATACCATTGATCGTACACGCTCCGATCAAACTGACCAGGTTTGGATGATCCCCAACAGATGACATGATGTTGATTTCGTTACACAGGTCACGCAATTCTCGTTCTGTTGGATTGTCTGTAAACAATAACAATATTAAATAAGAATAGGTTTCGTAGTGTCATACATCGAGCTACCTGTGGTAGCATATTACGGGGTAGCTAAAAAAATATTGGGACCGATGTTGGATACACATATATTTCATATGTGATATTAATAATGTTTTTGTTCGATGTTTATAGAACTGACATAGTTCGTTTGGGCGTAATGTTTTCCCATTTCAGACCAGATGCTTGATTTGTATCCAAATTAATTTATTTTTTCATCAACAAAATGATACTCCAGGGAATAACGCATGGTCTCTGAAATGAAAACACGACCATATTTAAGACTTATCCAGTCCTGGAGTCCTCAGTTTTCCATCCGATACAACAAACTGAAAAATTATTTTCCTTGCCCGCAACTTTTCAGCTAGGTACATTCCGGTGCCGTGCCGTGCTGTGTTCCTAAAGGTGCCTATGGACAATATCCTGGTGTAATGGGGACCGTGAGATGCAACGATAGCGCCGCAAAGAAGAGGGAGTACAAAATATTCCGATTATCTATACCATACATAAGAATGATGTTGTGAACGCTCCTTCGAATTTTATCGATACAGTGCGGATCAATGTGAGAGCAGCTAACAGAGATCGCTTTGAATTTTATTATTCATGCTGTTTGGTCTGGTTTTGCGGGGAGAAGACATCCTTTCAATCTGCATAGATAGCGTCGGTTTTCGCTCCCGAAAGTACGTCCAAATATAGTACCAGTACCTTGGGGGAGGGGGGAGGTGTGTTGTAAAGGGGTYAAGTTGCTTTCGGGTTGATACGTTTGATGCTCGTAAAACCATTAGTTATTGGGATAAAAACGAAACAAATCACACGATTGATACCTATTTCATTTGTTCTTTTAGAATTTGTTAGTTTTATGCCTAAAATCCAAAATTGTGGAAAATCAGAATCTGGATTTACTCCTTGGATCGGACTTTTCTGAGGTGGAGTGTAGGAATTGATAATTTTTTTCCTTTGGTATTTCAAGTTAAAATCAATGCTAAATGTCTAACGTACCTCGAACAATGGCTTTGGCGCAGTTGTTTTTAGAAATTAATAAAAAATATGGCTTTTATGCGAAGGAAAAGATTAAGGCTATTCTGTTAGAATCTGTGTTTTTGTTAAGCTAATTTAACTATCTCGTTTCATCTTTATCAAACAGGGAATGAATAAAGACGTTCGAAGATGCCTTACTTGCGTTTATGGCAGATAACGAGTTCAGAAAAGTAAATAGAGCGGCGTAAAGTTACCATCATACCGCAAAGGGTAAAGAGAAATTCTTTATTCCAAAGGGATGGATATTCTGTACAGTTATCCCAGCATYAATGCTAYTCAAGTGAAAACAGAAAACGTGAGTAGTGATTTTTATGTRTGCTCAAAGGATACCCTTAAATATGGTCAAGGATACTCTTAAATATGGTCAAGGATTATCTTAAATATGGTCAAGGATACTCTTAAATATGGTCATGTTATCTTGCTCTAAGACACTACCTTTCAACATCTTTACAGCACAAACTATACGCTCCTCTTTCCTCTCCTCTTCACTCTTTGTCAGGTAGCCTTTCATCACGACACCAAAGGCTCCAGACCCAAGCTCTAAATCGAGTATCAAGTCGTCACGTGGTATCTCCCACCATTGTTTAGCAATCTTGATCTTAAGAACACCAAACCAGTCTACAGCCGAATCGTATGGGTTTTCTCGTAACTATGAAACGCACAAACAATGAAAAGAATTAGCAACACCGACGARAGACAGCGCTATCAGTAACACTGYGCATAGTACAGTGGGTAGTCAGGATGACGTAAATAGCTCTCCTCTCACCTCTAAGGTTCGAATCCCATTCGCCCCATGTGAACTGATTGAGCTTAATTCTCATGCAAGGTACCTCCCGGATAATGGCCAAGCAAAGCTTTAATACCTTTTGAAGAAAAGGGCACAAAAGGGTTGGGTACAAAACGGCACCTTAATTTCCATGCATGGCACCTCCCTGATAGTGGGCAAGCAAATCTTTGATACCTTTTAAAGAAAATGAAATGAAGAGCCCAAAAGGGTTGGGTGCGGAACGTGATCTTAATTCCCAAGCAAGGTACCTCCCTGATARKGGGCAAGSAAATCTTTGATACCTTTTCAAGTTTCTTCTGCATCTCCTTATTTTCCGTTCGTTTTCGTCTCACAAATACAACTCCACCGATAAGCAGGACAATGATGATGGCAACAAGGGGAAGAACGATGGCCATTACTTCTACTTTGCTGCTATCTAAAATCCATCAATTGAGAAAAAAATGAAAATACCTWGAATAGCCTGAATAGCCATCTCGCTTCAGTCCTAATCGGTCGTAAATAACGAAACCTAAGACATATGACATTTCATACACTTCAAGAGAAGTTAATGAAACTCTCTTTGGTGTTTTCGCTTCAGATGTGTTGCCATCCATCCATCAGTCTCGAGACATGTGATAGGTATCTTAGAGACAACTCAGTAGGGATTTTGGTCTATTTAACATATATGCCTCCCCCATCTTTATATAATTATAGCAATAAAAAAAMCCTACCTTTAGTCTTCACGTTTATTGGTTCACTAGCTTTATAACCTTCAGCATTAACAGCCTTCACACGCATCAGGTATTTTTTACCCGCGTCTAGATTCTTTACGGTGACTTTGGTCTTATCAGAGTTCACAATGGTATCATCGTAGTACTCCATGTCTGTACCTGCCTTCTTGTACTGTACGGTGTAGTTAAGGATTCTATATGGTCCATGATACAAGGGAGCTGACCAATGAAGTGTCACTGTCGTCATTTTCACGTCACTGCTACTCAGATTAGCTGGAGGGGGAGGTGGAGCTATATTGAATGGAACATAAAAATCTTAGACCCAATCAAAGACTTCCTTGTGCCAGTAAGGCAGTTTTGAGTGTCGATAATATACTACTAGTAGCCCAGCCAATCAGAACACAGGTTTCGTGATAGACCATTAGTAGGTTTATACTAAAGCAAAATATTCCATTCATTTTTTACATTCCGAAAAATGTGTGTGTGTTTGTGTTACCTTTGACATTAATGGAGTTGATCTGAAACTCTTTAGACGCAGCATTTCCGTGGGAAAGTCGTAAGAGTCGTCCAGTGATATCCTGTACAACAGAMAAAGCTGACCGTCCTTTGAGCTCAGCTGTGATGTCGAATTTTACGTGATACGTGCTGTTGCCAATATTACTAAGACAAAACATTTTTAAAGCAGCAGTCAGTAGTTGCCAGGCAGCACCACATTCACCCTCACGGTCGCCACCAACCTTAAGAAATACCACCCACAACCACAACCACCATCACYACAACATTAGTAGGTACCATTACCACTACTGCCCCTACTAATGACGACCCCAAAAACCAATGCCATCATGGTCACCACTACCCAACCCTCCAACCACCAAGCAACTTCTATTCAATATCAAAGGTACAAAACTTACGTGAATTCTGTAACCTTCATTTGATAAATGTTGTAACCATCAGGCTTTCTGCTTTTATTGAATAGCCCCAAAACCTAGATTTAAAAAATATAATTTAAACAGTRCATAAGCGTTTTCAATAGACTTCTTTACCATAAGCGTAATGTTTTCCTAATTCAAACCACTTGTCATTCTCTTGAGAATAAGATTTTTTGTTTGAGTTATATCGATATTCGCCATGTGCAATTGTTAAACAAAGAAATGACACTCAAGAGGACATCTGTTCTAAAATGAAAGTTATATTGCTTGCTCTTGTCCCATTTGCTGTCATTTGCTGCTTTCAAGTAAAATAGATAGTTCGATGCTGAGATATTCTTACCAATTTCTTGAAAACAAATGCCAAATTTCTTGAAAACAAATGTTTTTTGTCCTTCAAGTTTTTCCTATCCTTAAAGTTGCGACTTGGAAGTGGAAACGTAAGGTTCAATGAATAACTAGCAGTAACAGAATCTATATGAAATAGAAAAATGAAAATTGATAAGAAGTAGTCATAGTATCTATAAACAATATTAACTCATTCACAGACTAGTCCATCGTATGGGAGTCCTGTGGCGTGGCGGCTGAGAAGTGGGAGAGCAATTACTCTTCTTTCGTCGTTTTCTTAATTCTCTGTCCGATTCTCATCTCTCATACTACACAGGAATAGAAAAAGTATACATTGCTTAGCATGCATRAGATCTGTGAGTAGACTCTTCCGGAAAGAAAACAAAGCAAAATATGTACATTTGTCATTTTCCCGTAACAAAATGTGCTATCTTCATCGTCGTTATCATCAGTACTCATGTGTTGAGTATCCCAGACTAAAAGACGGAAAATACGGTTTTACAATC